GTGCAGGTTTGGTGCAGCCATGGCCGATTGGCGAAACATATCTGTTGTCCTAACCTGCCCTTAGGGGGGCGATTAGTGTCTAAATTCTCCCGCGTCCGTGCCTCCGCCCACGAAGTACCTATCGAGCCAGCACACAAACGGCTGTGTTGCTGTGATCTAGGGCTATCGCGAGATACCTCGTACAGCGGAAACCGTGCAGGTTTGGTTCAGCCAAGGTTGATGGGCAAAACATATCTGTTGTCCCAACCTGCCCCCCGGGGAGGGATTAGTGTCTCAATCCCCCCCCGCTTACATCTCCGCCAACAAGTCACCGATCGAGCCCGGACACGCACGACTGTGTTGCTGTGATGTAGGGCTATCGCGAGATACCTCGTACAGCGGAAACCGTGCAGGTTTGGTGCAGCCATGGCCGATGGGCAAAACATATCTGTTGTCCCAACCTGCCCCCCGGGGGGGGATTAGTGTCTCATTCCCCCCCCGTCTACATCTCCGCCAACAAGTCACCGATCGAGCCAGGACACGAACGGCTGTGTTGCTGTGATGTAGGGCTATCGAGTTCAGCCATGGCCGATGGGCAAAACATATCTGTTGTCCCAACCTGCCCACCGGGGGGGGGTTAGTGTCTCAATCCCCCCCCGTTCACATCTTCGCCAACAATTCACTGATCGAGCCCGGACACGCACGACTGTGTTGCTGTGATGTAGGGCTATCGCGAGATACCTCGTACAGCGGAAACGGTGCAGGTTTGGTGCAGCCATGGCTGATGGGCAAAACATATCTGTTGTCCCAACCTGCCCCCCGGGGGGGGGATTAGTGTCTAAATCCCCCCCCGTCTGTATCTCCGCCCACAAGGAACCAATCGAGCCAGGACACGCACGGCTGTGTTGCTGTGATGTAGGGCTATCGCGAGATACCTCGTACAGCGGAAACCGTGCAGGTTTGGTGCAGCCATGGCCGATGGGCAAAAGAGATCTGTTGCCCTCACCTTCCCCCCGGGGGGCGATTAGTGTCTCAATCCCCCGGGGTCTGTACTCCCGCCCACGAGGTACCGATCGAGCCAGGACACAAACGGCTGTGTTGCTGTGATGTAGGGCTATCGCGAGATACCTCGTACAGCGGAAACGGTGCAGGTTTGGTGCAGCCATGGCTGATGGGCAAAACATATCTGTTGTCCCAACCTGCCCCCCGGGGGGGGGATTAGTGTCTAAATCCCCCCCCGTCTGTATCTCCGCCCACGAGGCACCAATCGAGCCAGGACACGCACGGCTGTGTTGCTGTGATGTAGGGCTATCGCGAGATACCTCGTACAGCGGAAACGGTGCAGGTTTGGTGCAGCCATGGCTGATGGGCAAAACATATCTGTTGTCCTAACCTGTCCCCCGTGGGGGGATTAGTGTCTCAATCCCCCCGCGTCTGTACTTCCGCTCACGAGGTACCGATCGAGCCAGGACACGAACGGCTGTGTTGCTGTGATGTAGGGCTATCGCGAGATACCTCGTACAGCGGAAACCGTGCAGGTTGGGTGCAGCCATGGCTGATTCGCTAAACATATCTGTTGTCCCAACCTGCCCCCCGGGGGGGGGATTAGTGTCTCAATCGCCGCCCGTCTGTATCTCCGCCCACGAGG